GAAAATGTCCAGTTATCGAAAATCCTGCTCTCATTTAAATTGTAGTTTCAGCTCTTTGAACTTGAGTTCATGGTTTTATTTCTCTGGGTTCATTTATTCTCTGTATGTTTGTTGATCTTGGCTCTTTCATTCTCCTCAGTGATGCGGACATCCCTCTGGATATGGGCGTTGTGAGCTGCAACTCTCCAGAGACCACTCGAGCAAACACGCCAACGCAGGAAGTGGTCAGCAGCTCGCAGTCGACACCGCCACCGAAGAAAAACAAGGTGGGGCAAATAGAGTCATACCAGAGGAGCTGAGTTTCAGGATAGAAACGATGCAGTGAGGACGACACTTTGAATAAAACACCTCACGTGTCTGAATTTACAGTTATTTTGTCATTTTGACAAACTGTATCAACACAATGGACCTAAAATAACACACAAAAATAAAACCTCAAAGTGGTGAAAAGTGAAATAGGTTTTTGCTAAATATGTTTAAATGTTTAACAAATCATTTTTATAGCTTGAAGTCTAAATATACATACATGTAAAAAAAAATATATATATATATTTTTTTTTTTACAAATTTTGTAAACAGGTTTATCCAACTACTTACACTCAGAAGTGTGTATCTGTTCACACAAATTATTTGTGCCACTCTGAAAACTAGTTCCTGTTGCCCACAAGACAGAGGGGCAAACCACAGGCCTGACAACAGGATGTGTATCACTCCTCCTGTTGTCCACCTGGAGACGGTGTTTACATTGAAGGCTGCCTTTGGTGTTTTTTTGTCCAGCTGTAGCTGCGTCGTTGCTTTGACAGACACGCAGAAAACCCCCCACTTCACTCCAAACGAGCTTAATGCCACAAATCTCAAAAATTGCTGTTCTCGCAGCAATTTTCTCAAAACTTTCGTCTGTTACTAAGCAACCAAATGGTGTGTTGCCATATAATTTTGTGATAGGCTGACAAGGTGAATTTTTCCATGAATAGTAAAGGGCGTTGAAAAGCATGGTGTGAATTATCATAACTCTGGTGTTATTTGGCCTCTCAACACTAAAAACTGGAACGTAGTTGAAGTCTTCACTTTTAACACCAGTTAACAACTGAGGCTCAGCGAGGGTGCGTCTTGTTGCCACGTCACCTTAAATTGGTCATGTGATGTGGGCACACCGGTATCAACATGTTTTTAAAGATGTTTTTATTCTGCTGATACTCCGAGTGTTTCTCCAGAAGAGTAAATACTTTATGCTGCTGTCTGTGTGATTGCAGGTCAACGTGGCGACACAGTGTGACCCAGACGAGATCATCGTCCTGTCAGACTCAGATTAACCTTTAACCTCAGAACTTTGACTAGAGTCAGAGAGCCATTTACAGCAGAGGAAGGCTGAGGTTTGAAGCAAATAAAAGCCAACACGACTGTTTTTGTAAAGAACTGGAATGAAATGTTTGTGATTCAATGTGTATAAACGCCAGCTGAAGCAGCAGGTTCTGGGATGTCCCTGCTGTGCACTACAGAATAAAGTTTTCATTTGATCCGAGCAGGGAAACTCGAGCTGACGCTGACCTCGGCTGCTTCTTGCACTTTGGGTACGGAAACTAACCGCCACTCATTGTGTCGCTAAAAATGGTGAAATACATTCTGTTTTTTTACTGCTCTGAAGCTGAAAATACTTCACTGGGATTCTTTTTACTCGACCTGAACGCTGATTTGTGGTTGGTGTGTTTTTAGGTAACAATCAGTGCCTGATTAAAATTGAACTGAGCAGTCAGACGTGAGGCCCAGATGTTGAATTTCACTGGACATGGCTGCTCTGGCAAACTTCCAGTTTGTTTACATTTTTATATTTCAAATCTGTTCTTTCTTAACAGAGCAGGCGGTGAGGTGATGTTCTCTATTAAAGTCTTTCTATTGATGTTGTTTTATTTGCTGCTATTTATGATCTGAGCGAGCTGTGCCGTGGTTTCAGTTGCAGCAACGACAACAGGAAAACATTTACACTGTTTAGATGTTTCCTCTCTCAATTTCGATTCAAAATGAATTCAGTTAAAATGTTTAAAATAAAGTAATTTACCTACTGAGGCAGGTGCTGGTGAGGCTGCAGGAACAGCTACAGGAACGGAAACGCTGAAAGTTCTCTTCGCAAACCCCACAAAAAAAACAATCCCCCCAAAAAACAGCAACAAAGTCTTCCTGCTTAAACATGTTGTTGTGCTGCATCACTCACAGGAGACAAAAGCATTAATCTGAACTAACCAAATCACTTTTGAGTCATTTGTGGGACTTTTGTTGATTTAAAAACTAAAACACACCAGTGAGCCACAATTTTCAACCTTTTGAGGATTTTAAATTAATGCTACACTCACAGAATGTATTAATCCTCGTCTGAAAAGTAGTACTAAACAAATCCACTCCTCCTTTTGGAGTAGCGTATGCTGAAAACTACATGCCCAGCTGTTTTAAGAAATAACTGCATATTTATGAGCCTCATTTCCAGCCGTCTTTAATCATAACCAGCAGTAAAGCGCAGGAAGTTATGACGCGTACCGCTTGTCGAGGGGTCTGTTGACACTGAAATATAAATAACAGCAGTCTTCTCTTTAAAGCGGTCAAATTTCATCCCAAGACAGATGAACTCTACCTCTGCTCACAAGTGTGCGTAAAAGATGGATGTAGTCGACATCATCCATTTGTTCCTTAAGTCCTGATATGTCGAGCTGAATGTTTTGGCGAGGTCACGCTGAACCCCTTTAGGTAGTGACCTGTCAATCATGAAGTAGGCCTGATTTTCACCGGGTGCATTTGTTTGTCCTCGTTTTTCTAACGAGGATCATAATTTACTAAATAAACGTCAAATTCAAGAAGACCCAAAAGCAGCGACTGAGGCCATAAACCATAAAGTCTTAACAGCTCATAGGTCGATGCAGATTTCTATAGACTGACATCTTTGCAAGTAATCGCTCCCTGCTGGCCGTTAGAAAGATTACAAGGTGCTTCCACGCTGGCTTTACTGTTATTATACAGTAATAACAGTCTGAGCGCCTCTGCGTGATAACCACGTTCTTTCTTCCTGCTGCTAAAGCTCACCTCAGCCAAAACTAAACATGAACACAAAGATCACTGCAGGTCTGGTGACTCTGCGTTTGGGTCCCTTTAGAGATCCTGAACACCTTTAATTATAAATACATTCTGTACTTTATTCAAGGTTTGTTTTGTCTTTTGTGTTTTTGTTCTCGTGTCGGTGCACTGGGCATTGCGGAAAATTGAGAAATACTTTTTAAAAACTTTTGTTGAGTTGTTTTTTTGTTTGCTTTATGCAGGCTTGGAGTTCAATTGTTTTTCTTTCTTTTCTTTTTTTTCTTTTTTTTGTAGTAGCAGATCGCCTCACAGGTGAAACGATGATATTTTGGGGTAAAAGCTCTTTTCAGAGTTAATAAAATGCCTGGAATGTTAACTTTGCTGCGATCTATTAGACCTCATTTATGCAGAGGAACGTTTCGTCATTCACTGTGAATTTGTTCCTTTTTTTTTTTCATTTTTGATATTAAAATAAATACTTTTGTCATAAAAGACTCTGCTTCTGATTTTTACTTGTAGAATTAAAATATTTTAATGTCAGTTTTTCAAAAGCTGCAGATTGGTTTTTATGTCTTTCTTTCAGGTACTTTATCAGCTGGTTTATGTCATGGCGTTAGCTCAAACCCACAGATGTTGCTTCATGTTGTTTGCCCCTTGAATAATTTACAAAAATCTGAATGTTTCATTTAGTCTTTAACAGCTTCACTTAATTATGAACGCAGTGCAAATAATTGTTCTGTATAATGTTTCAGAGGAGTGGTGTAATATTCAATGTAAGAAACAAATTATTAAATTATCATTAAATTATTAACGTAAAGCAGCAGAAAAAACATGAAAAGAAAGATCGAGAGACAAACGTCTCCTCCTGGACAGGTGAGCTGCTTCCTTTCCCCATGATGCCTATTGTTACACCCTGCTTAAAAGCAAGGTTGTATCTGGGGTGGGGTGTGACACAAAGTGAAAAGAAAACTATTAACTGCCACACAGTTAACGTGGCACTTAAAAGTATTTCACAACCAAACGACCCAATGAGGCCCAAAATCCACTGTGGTTCACAATTATCTCTGTAAAGGCACACCTTTTTTGCCCGAACCACTGTAGCACATCCCAGAGAAAAGCAAAGGGAAAGGGGGCGTGGCATTTTGAGGCGGCAGTCTTGATGCAGTGCTGACGAGTTGCACCACATCTCAGCTGCAGCTTGTGAGACAGACCTGGAACACAGAAGGAGGAGAAAGAGCTCTCTCACATGGGGAGACCCCCGGTCAGCGACCGTAACACCTATCAACAAACTATCATTGCTGTATGTGGCTAATAGCTTAGCATTCTGCTAACTATGATCACTAGAGTCTCGAGCTTCACTTGTACAGAGACGCAAATAATAAAGTTTTTCCTCAGCTGGTTTCTCACCATGTGGGGAAAATCGATTTAAAACATGAACATGTTGGTGGTGCGCAGAGAACTTCTGTTTCAGGAGTTTTGTCCTCACCATCATTGTGAGGAAAAATTATATCAAAAAATTATATCTCAGGATGTGAAAAAAAAATACAATTTAGCCTACACCCTGTTTAGCTCCTGGTTGATTCGGAGCTTCATCAGTCTGCGGAGCAGCTGATGTTCTTTCCTGTGATAAATGACTTTCTCACGTGAGTCGTCATGTGCTTTTTCACATGTGTGACGTTATAAAATCTTTTCCCACACAGCGAGGAGCTGAAGGCTTTCTCTTCAGCGTGACTCTTCAGATGCTGTTTGAGACTCCGGCTGTGAGTAAATCTTCTCCCACACTCGGAGCAGCTAAAAGCTTTTTGTCCCGTGTGGATCAACATGTGAGAATTGAGGTCGGCGTTGCGGCCGAATGTTTTGCTGCACCTGGAGCAGCTGTAGGGTTTTTCTCCCGTGTGGATGCACAGGTGTTGTTTCAGATTCCCGCTGTGTGTGAATGTTTTACTGCAGAACTTGCAGCTGAATGGTTTCTCCCCCGTGTGAGTCCTCCGGTGGTTTATTAGCGTTGTCTTGTCTTTAAAGCTTTGTCCACACTCAGAGCAGCTGAACGGTTTCTTTTCCGTGTGAATCCCCATGTGTCTCTGCAGGTTTCCACTGTCCACAAATCTTTTTCCACACTGAGAGCAGCTGACAGGTTTCTCTCCTGTGTGGGTTCTCAGGTGTCTGCTCAGATTTCTGCTGTGACCAAAGTTTCTCCCACAGACAGAGCAGCTGAATGGTTTCTCATCAGCATCACCTGATGCCCGAGGCGCTGCAGGTTCACGGCTCTGCTCACACTCATCAGAATCACTGACGTCTGTGTCTGAAGAGCCTGAAGTTTTCCTGTCAGGCTGTAGATCTGGATCAGGCTCTGGTCTTCCCACAGAGTCACTGACCTCCTCAGTCCGTCTGTGATAAAGCTGTGAGGATTCAGGTTTCTCTTCACCCTCCTCACTCTTCACAGGGGCAGGGCTGGAAGTGAGCTGGGCGATGACAACCTCCTCCTGTTCGTCTTTAATGTCTGGGTCCTCCCGGTCCACACTGGAGCTCCACTCCTGCTCCTCTTTTTCACCAATGACCACTTTTTGGACACCCAGAGGTAAACCTGAAACACAAACATTAATATTGAGTTCATTTTGTCCTGAAACCAGAAAATTTTCACAAAGTGACAGTTACTTTTTGTGGATAATGAACATATTTTTACATGACCATGACAATTAATATGACTTTTAGGGGTATATATATATATATCTCGTATTTATTCAGGACTTGTTTTCAGTTGATCAGCTTTTCTCCTGTCTCCTCACCTGCTCTGTGCGCTGGTGGGAGGAGCTAAGTGGAGGTGACATACCATCAGAGAGAAGCTAGCGTCATGCTAGTGTTAGCTTATCATCAGCAGCGAATCTGTTTCCAGCAGCAGCAATAAAACTCACCTTCTTTTCTCGGTTCCAGTTCCATCTTTAAATCAACTTCCGGTGGTTCACAGTGTCGGGCCACCTATATGTGTACTTTTAAGGGAAACACGACACAGTAGGAGTAGGTATTGATTTATAAATACTACTGTGTTTATAAACTAAGCTGTAGTGTTTGCACAAACCAAACACTAAATAAGAACTCATCACTGTGCAATAGACATTTAGCGGAACCTAGCTAGTTCTATCTAACTGTCTGTATGTCTCTAACTAACTTGGCAGCCTGTTCTCTTTGTCTTGATAATACTTTCTTTAACGATTGAAGACATTTTGGGGTCAACGTAAAAGAAAGGCAGATGTGAAATGTAAAATTTAGGTCAGAGGTTAAATGTGACAAGGTTTCTATTTATTGACAACAAACACTTCCAAGAGTCATAGTTTCTGAGTTATAAGGCTTTTTGTCAGTTGTTTGTCAGTCCTTTAAGAGTCTCTAAAAAAGCCGATGTTTCAAGACTTCCCCTGTGTCTTTAGACATGTTTTAGGTTTCATGTCTTTCAATATCAAAACCAATCCTACAATGTCAGTAGGTAATGAATCAGTCAAACATTGTGTCTTTTACAACAGGATAGCAGTGTGTTCACCCTGCAGTGTTTAGTCATAAAGTACATTTTTGTTATGTCCTGTCCAGCTTTTGAAGGACATATTTTGCTCATCATTAGGAAAGATTAATTTATATTTTCTGAGCTATTAACTGGAATTACAGGTTCTAGAACAAAGTTGTAGTTTATTTTGTGAATACAGCAAAGCAAAAATGTGCTCAGTGTCACTCTTCAAAACACCAGGAGGAAATATTTAACAAATTAACCAAGTCAAAAAAAGCAAGCTCTGTGCAGTTTGGAAAGGCCCAGAGCCAAAACATTTGTCACTAACTGGGAGAATCATCACACAGATGCTACAGGCAG